AAAGTTGGAAATATCACAGGAAAACACAAGGACAAGTTCAGTCACTTAATCGTGGGGATGTTTTGAGTTGGTCGCGCTAAGTCGTGTCTAGTCGCTGTGATTCTATCTTTGAGGGTATCTGTAACATGTGACTACCGTTGGAACTTGAAAAGAAATTGAGCCTGTACCCCTCCCTCTGCTGCAGACGCCACTCAGCGATAAAAGTGAATCTGCTTTTGAGAATGCTCTTTCCTTTCACTCATGAGGAACCTTTTTTCCCCACGAAAGATGCGTCATAAAGAGAAGTAAAGTTAAGGACTTTCAATTTTCTAATACGCCTTATCCAAATTAGTTCTTTTGCGTTACTAAATTCTACATGAAAATAGTGTGAATTTATTCTCCCGTTGCTGTCCAATTTGTTTCGAAAAGATAAAAAAATAAGATATGGCGAACAGCTTTTGAATCGCTTTATAAGAATATGACAGCAGCCCCTGTATTAAGTAAGCCAGATTTTGCAGAGTTGTTGAAGTTACATATGCATCTGGAATTTCTAGAAGTCTTTGCTTTATGAAAAAAATATAGTGTGCCCAGCTGCTCCCGGAAACTTAGATATGCTGAAGAGGAAAAGTCTGCCATTGATCTAGAAGCTTTAGCTGTCGTTGGACCCCGTAAAACATTTCGATAATATCTATACGGCCGACATTTTGTCATCTTTACGGCCCATCGTCCCATCACCTGTACATTTAAGAGGCCCTAAATCAGTCTGAAGGTCTAGATGGAGTCATGATTCACCCTTCAGCAATTACGAACTGAAGCATAAACACCGGGCTTCCAATGTCATGCCGAATCCGCTAGTTAGGAAGGTGAACATTATTGACAGCGTTATTGATCCACTGAGTGCTGTTGTGTGTTGAAGTTATATCATATTTACACAGGTGCGATAAGAATTTCTCTCCCCCTAGACGAATTCCGATTGAGAGATGGACTTTGACGCCATCTGCCAATTCTACTATGAGTGTGTGATACTGCAATTAGTAATTATTTGTAGGTACGTTACGAAGTACATACGACACAGCAACTACTCCAAGTGTTTTTTTCTTTTCTTTTTTACATATTCTCAACTTAGATTTATAAATTCATGTGAAAACTGTTAGAGATTTAATGGAATAAATTGGCTACAGAGTAGATTAGCATCTATGCCGTAAGTCAACAGCGTATCAGCAGAACCAAAACTCAGCGCTATGTTCTAATTATCAATCAGATGATCCTATAAATGTCAAATGATGCAGAGTCAGTAGCATCAGTATCACTAAACTTTGTCCGGTCCTCGGAGGATATTACCAACAGACAATGCCTCAGAATTCACACGTAAATCATCCAAGCAGGTGTGTAAAATGTTGAGTTGAAACCATACGCTACTATTTATCATACGCAGGATAATGGAAAGGTTAAGCTTCGCCACGGAGATGTACTATACTAACTGGTATTTTTATTCTTCTGTCTTTGTCGTACCACACGAAATGCGTCACCACAATTCAGTACAATAAAACGCCTTCTCATGCTACAGCAGTACAGAAATATGTCACATCGATACGCGAGGACCGAGATCATAGTTTGGTGAAGCTAGCGAACATCTACCGTAAAGTGAAAATGGCAATGCAGAAATTGTAAAACTTTACGAAAATAACACCCCATAGAGGCATAAGGCAAATTAGAAATAGAGAACAGAGTAATTTCATTTGACTCCCCTATGACAATGAATTGGCTAATAAGTCTTGTGCCCCAAAGTTTATCAAACAGGTTAAGAACCACTGACGTACTCTTAATATACCCCTTTTATTTCAAGTGGATGGCGTTAAGATTAATATACACAAGGCCTACTTAATTCTTAGTATAGGACGTCAAATTGAGGGGGGAAAAAAGTGGTTAAAGTCTCATTTTTTTCCTGTCTGTACTTAATCGATCGTAAATACCTTGATCTTTGATTTTATATCAAAACATAGCTTTTGGTCACAAGCGAGTGAAAGTAAAAGTAAAAGAGTGTCACGGTGTAAGGGAGGTTCCTAACCTTGTATGAGATGCCAATGTGTTCATATGTCAGGGAGCGACTACATTCACAAGTCTCTTTAGCATTTTATTTTATTTATTTATTTCATTTTAGTTGTCCCGTATTAAAGGCAAGGGAAGCATATCATTTGTTTATGGGAAGGGAAGTATATTATATTGTTTATGAGAGGCTGCAAAATCAAAAAGTATTGAGCATGTATATATAAACATGATTAAAAAACAATATATCATCACGATAAAAATCTAAGAACAAGAATTCACGAGTCATAATCACGAGTGTCAAGAGCACATCAACTCGTCCGTAGCCTATGGTTCAGAAGATCAGACTCTATAGCTCCACGTTGTTGTGATGAAAAGGGAGACAAAACTGCACTATTCCTTGGCATGACAAAGGGCAAGGTTCTTTCCATTGTACATTCGTCTTCCGAACTTTGCGTAAGTAGGTAATACTATAGCTCGTTCCTATAATTATGATTTATATTATCCGTTTTGAGGCAGTGGTTGTTTGGCAGAATCAAGTTCAGGAAGACAGAAAATAGTAGATGCTGCATTAACAAATATCCGAGATCTTTTGATATATGCCAGCGCATGCCAGGACGATCAGGTGATAGAATATTGCCAGCTGAATAGATTTTCTGAGAATATATAGTGGGGGTCTCGTAAATGCCAATAATTGTGTAACTGAGGTGACAAAGCGATATAAGATTATATAAGTCGTTTTTCTAGCGTGTAAATATCATTTATCACTCAAAACATACTCTGCGATGTCATGCAAAAGTTCAGTCATGTGGTCATGATCAAGGCTGGTATTAAAATCAAAGTTAAAGGGCCTATAAGAGGGGGGGTACATTCATCATTCATTCATACTACCTGTTATTATAATTAGAAAGTGAAGTCTGAAATATAGGATATGTTACGTATTGATGTGTCTACTCGAGTTACAAATTCGTTTTGTGTTGTGGTGATGAAATTTGCTGTCAACAACTTATTTGCTTTGAGTATACTATGTTATGTCTTACTGCGTTTCCATTTATTATTGATGCTCGGAATTCAGATTTAGCACATCATTCTGCAAAATATCTGTAGGGAAGGAATCCCGCATTCATAGATGGTACATTTATTGTTAAGAAATATAAATATACAAAGAAATATGATATACTAGACAGAGCCCGTTTCAGATTAGACTAGCGTGACAGAGGGATTTCCTGCCAACTTAGCAGCTTGATGAGCACGGGCGAGGGCGGACTTGACTTGAGCCACGGCGGGCGTGTCCTCGACGAGGTCAGAGGCGGCTACCCTGAAGCCAGAACCGGGGGCGGCGGCGTACTTCCTCACCTGGACGTCGCCCTCGGGGTCCACGTAGGCGAAGCTGCCGGAGGTACGACCAAAAGAGTCCCTGCTCTCCACACGGGTGTTGGGGCCGCCGTAGTGGCCGAAGGTGTACTGGCCAGCCTCGTCCTGAGTGTGGAATTGGCCTCCCACGTGAGGGACGCTGAGGGACGGCATGGGGGGTTCAGGGGCCATGAGAGGCTCAGGTGGTGCCACTACGGTCACAGGGACAGCGCTCTTAACTACAGGGGCAACAGCCACAGGCGCAGCAGGAGCCACAATGGCTGCACTCTTGACCACCGGGCTAACTGGGACCACGGCTACGGAAGGGGCGGCTTTCACAACAGGGACAGGGGCAGCTTCAACGACGGCAACGGAAGGGGCGGCTTTCACAACAGGGACAGGGGCAGGGGCAGTCAATACTACTCCTAAATTTACACCTGGTTCAGGAATCTTCATAACAGCTGGGAGGTTCCACTGGGGACTGACCACAGTTCCTGACACCGTCTGATAGATTTGCGGTGCCGCGGAACATGTTGCCGCCAACAGTGATAAAACCTGGAAAAGAAAATGCTAGATGAAAACGTATATTAATTCCGTAACGGAAATATATAGGGACAGCACAGCATACTGTATAATGTAACAAAATATTTGAACAATAATAGCAACGTATATTTCCTTAAAGCAGATTCCCAAAATCTGCCTTATTTTGACAAAGCAATGCCGAAGTTTACTAACGATGAGTTTCATTTTAAATTGCTGGGAAGGTCGTGGACGAAGGTGTCTCTGGACCGGGTGGAAGAGTGGTTATGGACGTCGGCTGAGTATCTCGCTTTTATATACCCGCACGTCCCCGACCATGACCACGCCCTCCTTGGCGTTAGTTGAGTTGGGTAACTTGCAGTAGAATTATGGTTGCTGATCTTTTGTATGTATATATACATGTACATATACATATATACACACATCTATGTATTCACATGTATACATACTCTTACACACACATATACACATACATGTACATATATATGTATATATATTTGTGTGTGATGTGTACATACAAAGACACACACATCATCATTGGGGGACTAACGCCGACGGGGACGCATGGTCGTATCCATCCTTCACTTTTCAGTCACGAGGGTCCCTCATGGCGAGCCTTTAGGCAGGTCCTCGGCCCATCGCTATCTCACGACAGGTCTGGTCGAGCTGCTCAAGTTATGACCTCCTAGGTCGTCCCAGGATTGTCTCGTAAAGAAACAACCTGACGGGCAGGGTCATCTACAGGAAAACGAGCTAGGTGTCCGTATAGCCTCAGTTGGCGGCCCCCGATTCTGCAAGTAACAGTTCCCATGCCGGCCTCACGGTGTAGCCGTCGGTTGGACACATGGTCCTTCCAACTGTGCCCCATGATCGGGCGAAGGGACTTGTTACAAAATGCATCAAGACGAGACTCCAAGGCATTTGATAGTGTCCACAGAGCAAAACTGACAGTACCAAGGCCTAGAAGGCACGTAGTTTGGTCCTTCTGCGTAGGTACCAACATCTCCAAGTGTTTTTGTTGGCCGAGTTCCTGCTGCCAGACCAATTCGTCTACTGACTTCCTGGTCTGATAGCCCAGAGACATGGACTACGCTACCAAGGTATGTAAGGCTCTATGTGACTTCAACATTCTCACCGCAAGCATTGTCGACTGAACAGGTTCCCCTAACAGACCCCCAAAATCCCGGATCTTGGTCTTGGTCCAGACCTGTAGGCTCAAAGGCTTCGCGTCATTGCTGAATGCATCAAGAGCCGCTACCACAGGATAGCAACATCATCGGCAAAGTAGAGGTCGGTGTCCTTGGTATGGCCCAGTGTTGCTTTAGATATTAGTTCTGTCCATTATCCAGTCAATGCAAACGCTGAAAAGTGTTGGTGCAAGAACATAACCTTGCCTCTTTCCTGAGTTTACAGAGAAGTTCAACAGCCCCACCACACTTTACAGCACTTTCAGTGCCAGAATATAGGCTTGCTATTAAACCAATAATCCGTGTCGGAATTCCCCGAAGTCTCAGGATCTCTCATAATGATTCGCAATGGACCGAGCCAAATGACGTCTTGAGGCCGCGATTATCCACGACCAAACTTACGACAATAACTCGAAGCGCTAGGATACGGTCTACGGTGGATTTGTCAGGAATGAATCCAGACTGCTCCGGACTCTGGTGCCTTAGTAGGTGGCCATGGATCCGTTTCAGAAGAGTGTGGGCTAAAACCTTGCCTGGTACACACACACACACACACACACACACACACACACACACACACACACACACACACACACACACACACATACACACACACAAACACACACACACATACACACACAGAAATACTCACTC